CCAGATTCATCAAGCTTATTTCTAAAAACCCACTTGGTTCCTATAATTGGATAATCAGTTGGTAATAGCACTAAATCCCATACTTCATTTCTTTCAAACTGATTTAGTTCCTCTTGCATGGCCATTAACCAATGTTCATCTTGTAGTGCTTCATCTATAGTCTTAGGTTCAACTTGTGAAACAAAAGCCATATTATTACAAATATTCTTTATGGATCTTCTAGTTGATACTCCTTTACCAATATTTCCAATTATATTTTCCATTGATAAGTCCCTAGAAGTTTTCCATTCCTTAGGCAATTGTTCACTTGCATTTTCAGTGGTTTCAATTGATTCACACTCTTTAGGCTCCTCATTAGGTTCACTTTCTAATGGAGGTTGTGCAGAAACTGAAGTTGCAAATATTGTTTCTTCCCTTGGAGAATGTACCGGGCTCCCAAGGGTAGGTTTGGTTTGGTTAGGTTCAATTACCGTTTTGTTTTGTGCCCGATCTTCTGCTCCCATACATAGTATGATCATTGCAGTCCAAACCACATGGAAACAACAAAGGGTAAGCTAGTGAAAAGAATAACCATATATAGATACATAAGTACAACAATTAGAAACAACTACAGCTTATCAGCACATCATCTAATTCAACAATCATCAGCATACAACTCATCATATATTCAGCTCACATCATTAAGCAAAAATAGCAGTAAACACACAATGCATCGTCACACATATCAGCTCGGAGATCTCCTACAACAGCTCAGCCTTACGGCCTACAACAGCTCAGCCTTACGGCCTACAACAGCTCAGCCTTATGGCTTACAACAGTTTATATCAGCATGCAGCGCAGCACAACACATCAGAATTAACAGCATACATCACAACTCACAATATACAGCATAGCTTAAACAACTCACAGCACAACAATATTATAAATCAGCTCAACATTCATCAATAACAGCTCAGCTCAGCAACCATCAACAATTATCAGCATTTCTCAACATATAACAACATATAAGGTAACACACATCCGCGCCTGACGCACTCATGGTCACACCTGGCGCAATTCCTATTGCACCAGGCGTGCTAGGAGGCAGAGACCCTAGAAGGTCTCATATGCCCGGCGTGCCAAACCCGCGCTCGGCGCAAGGTAGGCAAAGACTTCCCCAAGGTCTTACGCCCGGCGCAATTACCAATTGTGCCCGGCGCCACCACTGGCAGAGACTCCCCAGGAGTCTCCACGCCCAGCGAGACGTAGTCACGCCCGGTGTCACACTAGAATCCCAAAATGCCAAGTTACTTCCTGATATCGCGCCCAGCATGGTCCAACCACGCCCGGCGTGAGCCATCTAGGGGCATCCATCCTCCAGCTCGCCCGACGCACACCACTTGTGCCCGGTGGGCTCGACCAATGGAGCCCTCTGATGGTCACGCGCCCGGTGCCAAGAAATGCGCCCGGCGTGATACCAAACAGAAACTCCTCAAGTTCAAAAATTTCCTTCAAAACCTGTAAAAATCAGCACCCCAAGCACATGCAATCGGCCCAAAACATCACATTTTCATCAAACAACCCAAAAATCCCAGCTTTTTCAACATGCGTCCATCAATCATAAAAAACCCCAAATTTTCATCAAAATCCCGAAACCCCGAAAAATGAAGTTTCTTCAACCCAGCCAAAATCATCAAACATCAGACCACAAATGAGTTTCTAAACTCATTTTCCACACAATACAGCCAAGAACTAGCTTTCCTTACCTCAGTGAAGAATTCCGAGTTCCGAGAAGAAGAAAGAGAAGAGAATGGAGAAGAAGCTTGAGCAAATGAAGGAGGAGAAGAAGTCTTAGCAACAATCACCAGCTACACAACACCTAGAACAACGAAAAAGGGGAATTTGAACAAGGTCCCAAGAAAATGGGAGAGAAAAAAGTATGAGAGTGCAAAATGAAAGTGAGGGAGAATGAGAGAAGAAAAATGAAAAGCTGCGGGGGTCTCACAACCTCCTCAACAACAGGAATTTTCGTCCCCGAAAATAGACTTACTTGGGAATAGAAAAGGGTACCGCTCCCTGCACTACTACTCAACCTCCCAAGTAGCCTCACCAGTAGCAGCGTCCCACAACACCTTCACCAGAGCAATGGACTTGCCCCTCATCTCCTTCAGCTTGTGATCAACCATAGCTACCGGCGACTTCTCAAACGTCAGATTCTCCTTCACCCGCACATCATCCAACACAACCACATGACCAGGGTCATGGACATACTTCCTCAGCTGGGATACATGAAATACATCGTGTAGGTTTGAAAGAGACGGTGGCAAAGCCAACCGATAAGCAACCGGACCCACACGTATGATCTGATAGGGACCAACAAACCTAGGTGTCAACTTCTTGGCCTTCAGCGCTCTACCCACACCAGAGGTTGGGGTCACCTTCAGAAACACATGCTCCCCTTTAGCAAACTCCAAAGGCTTTCACCTTTTATCAGCATAAGATTTCTGCCTACTCTGAGTAGTCTTCATCCTCTCCTGAATTAGCTTCACCTTCTCAATAGTCTGTAGGATTAGCTCCGGTCCCACAACCACTGACTCGCCATACTAATACCAACACAGAGGAGTCCTACACCTCCTGTCATACAAGGCTTCAAACGACGTCATCCCAATACTAGCATGAAAGCTATTATTGTAAGTGAATTCCACCAGTGGTAGGACCTCCTCCTAGCTTCCCAAGTGGTCTAACACACAAGCCCTCAGCAGATCCTCAAAGGACTAGATTGTCCTCTCTGATTGACCATCTGTCTGCGGATGATAGGTAGAACTCAACTTCAGCTTTGTGCCTAAGGCTTGATGTAGACTCTGCCAAAATCTAGAAGTGAACCTCGGATCTCTGTCTGAAATAATACTGGAAGACACCCCGTGCAACCGTACTATTTCCCTCACATACAACTGTGTCAGCTTCTCCAAGGACCACTTGATGTTGACAGGAAAGAAATGTGCACACTTGGTCAACCGATCAACAATCACCCAAATAGCATCACTATTCCTAGCCAACCTAGGCAACCCCACAATGAAATCCATAGTGATACTATCCCACTTCCATTTCGGAATCTCCATCTGCTGCATCAACCCACTCGGCTTCTGATGCTCCACCTTCGCCTTCTGACAGGTCAGACAGGCTGCCACATATTCAGCTATGTCCCTCTTCATACCAGACCACCAGAAAGTCTTCTTGAGGTCTTGGTACATCTTAGTCATACCAGGATGTATGCTAAGTATGCTTTTGTGGCCTTCCTCCATCACAGCTCTCTTCAGCTCAATATCATGAGGTAGGCAAATTCTGCCCTTAAACCTCATGATCCCATCTCTGCCCAACTCAAAACCAATAGCCTTCTCGGTACCCAGCAAACCAAGAAGCTTCACTAATTCCACATCTTGCAATTGCTTTAGTCCAACCTGCCTCAAGAACTCACTAGTTATGGTAGTCATCCCACAACTAATATGATCCTGAGCTAGCTCCACACAGAGATTCAGATCTCTGAACTCCTCCACCATCTCCAGCTCTTTCACCATCATACTAAACATGTGGATGGATTTCCTACTCAGCGCATCCACCATAACATTGACCTTCCCAGGATGATACATCAACTGGAAGTCATAATCCTTTAGAAACTCCATCCACCGCCTCTGCCTCATGTTCAACTCCTTCTGATCAAACAGGTACTTCAGACTCTTGTGATCACTGAAGACGCTGAACCGAGCACCATACAGATAATGTCTCCATATCTTCAAGGCAAACACAACTGCTGCTAACTCCAAGTCATGATAAAGGTTGATCAAGAAAATCAGTCAAGTCTTCTATTTCAGTTTGCTTTGTCTCTTGTTTGTTAATCTCATCAAACACAACATGAACTGATTCTTCAACAATTAGAGTTTGATAGTTCCAGATATTTTACCCACTATTCGCTTACTGCTTTCTTTTTTTTTTCTCCCACCAGATCTTGCGCCAGCAGAAAGTGAAGAATCATATCAGTACTATTAGTGAGTTTACAGGAGTAATGTCAATTGATTTTTGGAAGACATTAAATGAAATTCACCCAAGTTTGGGTGATTCATCAAAAGGTACGCTACAGAGCATCAGCAATGATACTCTTGCCAGATTAACTGGGGTCATTCATTCATTAAAGCGGGAGAAGCAACAAAGGCTACAAAAGGTGAATTGTTCTGATCTAGATGAAATAGTGGAAATGCAAATGAATTTGTACTTGTCTGTGCATCACTGCATGTGTATATATGTGCCTTACTGTTGCAAATAATGTAGATGTAGGTGTGTGTATCATCTCATCTCTGTTTGATATACAGCAAATGATCACTCTTGAAGTTGTATCAGTAGTTGCTGTTTAATTTCAAATGGTTATTGGCATTTTAATTAGCTTCTAGGCTTCTTGCATTGAAACATTTTTCATAGGAAATATTTTTCCAGCTGCAGCCTGAAAGTTGCTTGTCAATGTTTTGCCGGGACTATCTTATTGATTGAATAAAACTTTACAACACTTACCTTTAAATCATGAGTAGTTAACTTTGTTCTAAATTGTAGTTGCATGTGTTAGCAATTGAAGCCCGAACTCTTCTTCTATACTGAACGTGATGAGTAATACCCATGTTAACTTTGAATTCAGATGAAATTATGGATTTGTATGGGAAGACTAGTGTTTATTAGTCTCCTATGAGTGTGTTTTATCTCAGCTTGGGATACAAGTGACTACCAATTATCAATCTTTGCTAGTTAATTGGGGAGGTTTCTAGTCTATGTTTTAGGTTGTTATATGGTATGGTCTGTTGTTTTGGTATGTAAAATTATACATGTAATTTCAAATCTTAAAGCACAAGTTTTATTTGCAGTTGCACATGCTATAAATTAACAAACTACACGGGTTCAGAAATCCATTCCTGCTCCTGCTGGTTGTGCTCTTTCCAAGATAAAAATGTGTTAAGATAATTCTATAAGATATAGTTTAGATATACTAGTTTATCCTCTCCTAATTTCTAGTTTAGTTTCCTTAGTCAGTTTTATCTAAATCGCTAAACTTTAGGGATTGATTATGTTTTATGCCTATTTATTTTATTGTACCCATCAATTCAATAACATGAAAATCATTCAGATTCAAGTTGGTACCAGAGCATTCTGGTCCTGGTTTGGAAACCCTAACCCAGTCGCCACCAAGGCATCTAGGGTTTTTTCGAATTTTGTCAGCGTTCGTCGGAGTTGACGCCTCTTGAGTGTTCAGAGGTCGCCGATCGGCCTTTCTGTTGCGAGCCGCCTCCAGACCGGTGGCTCGCGCTCTCACGCGCGGTTTTTTGTCAGAAAAGCTCACCGGCGCGTGGGGTTCATGCGCCTCCCTCCAGGCCTCTGTTTGCGACGCCGTTTGCACCGTTGGACTCACCGGCCCTCCCTCTTCTTGTTTTGACCCGTTTAAGGTTGTGGGTCACACTGTAGGTGGTTGTTTGGTTGCTGCTTGGAATTCCGTGGTTGTTTGGTTGCTGCCACGAAATTTTGAGACTGTTTGGTTGCTGTCTCGGAGGTCTTTCGGGATTGTTTGGAGGTATTTTTGCTGTTCTTTTCCTTTTTCTCTTCATGGCAGAGATTTCCAAGAATGGCACACTTTCTGCTTTTATCTCTAGTTCAACTGACCGTGGAAGTCGAGGGCGTGGTCGAGGTCGTGATCGTGGTAAAGGGGGTAGAGGAAACCTCCATTGTACCTACTTCCAAAGAGATGGACATACACGAGACAGGTTTTATTCCTTGCATGGCTTTCCGAGCAAGACAACTAAAGTGGCTCAATCTCCGACTTTGGCTCTAAAAGTCAAGATTGAACCCGAGAGCAATCATCCAATCACATTATCTGCCGATGATTACAAAGAGTATCTTCAACTGAAGGTGACTAAACAGGCCCCTTCCTCCATCACTGTTTCTCATACTGGTAATTCTACAGTCTATCTCTCTCATTCTACGTCTATTGGACCTTGGGGTTTGGACTCCGGTGCTTCTGATCACCTAACTGGTAATGTTTTCCTTTTCCGTAACCTATCATCACCTAAAACTCCACATCATATAACTCTTGCTGATGGGTCAAAAGTCCAAGCCACTGGTATTGGTCAAATATCACCTCTTCCATCACTACCATTAAAATCTGTTTTACTAGTTCCTGGATGTCCCTTTAATTTGATTTCTATAAGTAAGTTGACTCGTTCACTAAACTGTGTCATAACCTTCACTTCTGATTCTTTCTTGATATAGGATCGGAGTACGGGACAGACGATTGGAGCCGGATCTGAATCACATGGTCTCTACTACCTTCAGCCTTCTACCTCTACCATATGTGCATCTATTGAGTCTCCTGGTTTAATCCACCGTTGCCTAGGTCATCCAAGCTTGAATAAATTAAAGAAAATGATACCTCATCTCTCACGGTTAGAGTCTTTAGAGTGTGAGTCGTGTCAATTAGGAAAGCATGTTAGAGCTTCTTTTCCTAATACTGTTAATAGTCGAGCTATGTCTCCTTTTGATGTTATTCATTCTGATGTTTGGGGTCCTAGTCGTGTTCCTTCTCTTTTGGGCATAGGTATTACGCCACCTTTATTGATGATTTTTCTAGATGTACTTGGATATTTTTAATGAAAAATCGTTCTGAGTTATTCAATATTTTCCTAAGTTTCTATTCGGAGATCAAAACTCAATTTGGAAAAGTAATTCAGATTTTACGAAGCGATAATGCTAAAGAATATTTTTCAAATTGCTTCAAATCATTTATGGCTTCTCATGGCATTCTACATCAATCTAGTTGCCCTCATACACCTCAACAAAATGGTGTAGCTGAGCGAAAACATAGACATATTGTGGACACTGCTCGTACTCTTTTATTGAATGCCAATGCACCCCCAAAGTTGTGGGGCGATGCTGTCCTCACTGCAGGGTATCTAATAAATCGAATGCCATCGTCTGTCTTGAATGATCAAGTACCTCATTCCCTATTATACCCATTAAATCGAATGCCATCGTCTGTCTTGAATGATCAAGTACCTCATTCCCTAGTATACCCATTCGATCCCCTTTACTTTGTTCATCCTCGTGTCTTTGGTTGTACTTGTTTTGTTCATGATCTTTTCTCAGGACGTGATAAGTTGTCTGCTCGGGCCATCAAATGTGTGTTCTTAGGATACTCCCGTGTCCAAAAGGGGTACCGTTGTTACTCTCTTGCTACGCATTGATTTTACACCAGTGCAAATGTCACTTTCTTTGAAGATACACCATTTTTCATTGCCACAGATGTCTCTCCAGTTGACTCAGATCTCCTCTCTCTGGTATTGCCTATTCCTCATTTTGATCATAGTGTGCCTCCTACCACACCTGCTACTTTAGAGGCACCAGATCCTTCCACACTACCTAGGTCTGACCATCCTCTACACCGATTTGGGATAACCTATGAGCGTCGATCACATACTATTATTCCTCCCAATGATTCTACAATTGAGCCATGTGATTCTACTCCTGCTTCAGTCTCTTCACCTACACCGGCCCTACCTACCTCAGTTGACTTGCCCATTGCTCTTCGTAAAGGTAGTCGTTCTACTTGTAATCCTCATCCTATTTATAACTTTCTTTCATATCATCGTTTGTCTCTTACTTATTATGCTTTTGTCTTTGCTATTTTCTCTATTACCATTCCCAAGACAGTACAGGAGGCCTTAACCCATCCAGGATGGCGACAAGCAATGATTGATGAGATGACAGCTTTAGACTCCAACCACACTTGGGTACTTGTCCCACCTCCGCCTGGAAAATCTGTTGTTGGTTGTCGGTGGGTATTTAATGTTAAAGTGGGCCCTGATGGACAAGTATATAGATTGAAAGCTCGTCTTGTGACTAAAGGATACACGCAAGTATATGGTTTGGATTACAGCGACACTTTCTCTCCAGTTGCGAAGATGGCCTCATTTGGTCTATTCCTAGCCATGGCTGCTATGAGACATTAGCCTTTGTTTCAATTAGACATAAAAAATGCCTTCTTACATGGTGATTTGGAGGAGGAGATTTATATGGATCAACCTCCTGGGTTTGTTGCTCAAGGGGGGTTCGGTCTTGTATGTAAATTACAAAAGTCCTTGTATGGCCTCAAACAATCACCTCGTGCTTGGTTTGGTCGGTTTAGCAAAGTTATACAGGAATTTGGAATGATCCGCTGCGAGGCAAACCACCCTGTCTTCTTTAGACACTCATCGACACATAGATTTATCTAGTTGTTTATGTAGATGATATTGTGATTACAGGTGATGATCAGGTGGGCATCAAGGCTTTGAAGCAACATTTATTTAAACACGTTCAAACTAAGGATTTAGGTCTCCTACGTTATTTCTTTGGGATTGAGGCCGCTCAGTCAAAGTCCGGTATTGCTATTTCTCAGAGAAAATATGCCCTTGATATTCTAGAAGAGACCGGACTTACAGATTGTAAGCCAGTTGACACTCCCATGGATCCCAATGTGAAGCTTATGCCTAATCAGGGGGAGCCTTATCTTGACCCAGGGAGATATCGGAGATTAGTGGGAAAATTGAATTATCTCACCATGACCAGACCTGATATATCTTTTCCTGTTAGTGTTGTAAGTCAATTTCTTAACTCTCCCTGTGAGAGTCATTGGCTTGCAGTTGTTCGAATCCTTAGATACATCAAAGATCACCAAGAAAAGGATTTGTTTACAATGATAGAGGACATATAAACATTGTTGGATATTTAGATGCAGATTGGGCAGGTGATGCAAGTGATAGACGGTCAACATCAGGCTATTGTGTCTTTATGGGTGGTAATCTTGTCTCGTGGAAGAGTAAAAAGCAAAGTGTTGTTGCACGATCAAGTACAGAAGCAGGATTCCGTGCTAAGGCTTCATGAGTTTAATTATTATTTATTTTTATATTTATTGGGATTATTTCCTTATAATTGTTTTAATTATTTAAATGGTTTTTATGAAAAATAATGAATATTTATGAAAAATATTTTGTATAATATTTATTAGAGAAATATGTATTTTTATGATATTTTATTATAATAAGTATTTGGAGAAAAATGTGTTTTTATTGTAATTGTTTATATATTTTATTTTAATTACAATTGTGTTGGAGGAATATATATTTATTTTTTATATTATATATTGTAATTATTAATTATTATATTTTGTTATAATTATTTGGGTTGGAAGAAATATTTTTATTTGATATATTATATATTTATAAGAAGCAGGATTCCGTGCTATGGCTCACACCACATGTGCTCTTGTGGCTAAAATTCTTAATTCAAGAGTTGCAGTTTTGCAAGGTTGGTCATATGGAACTAGTTTTTGATAACCAGTCAGCTTTATACCTCTTCTCTAATCCAGTTTTTCATGAGAGAACAAAGCATATAGAGGTTGACTGCCACTTCATCAGAAAAAAGATCCTCTCCGGTATCATCAAGACCTCCTCAGTTTGCTCCAAGGATCAACTTGCAGATATCTTTACTAAATTTTTACGAGGTCCTAGGATAACATATATATGTAACAAGCTAGATGCATATGATATATATGCTCCAGCCTGAGGGGGAGTGTTAAGATAATTCTATAAGATATAGTTTAGATATACTAGTTTATCCTCTCCTAATTTCTAGTTTAGTTTCCTTAGTCAGTTTTATCTAAATCCCTAAACTTTAGGGATTGATTATGTTTTATGCCTATTTATTTTATTGTACCCATCAATTCAATAACATGAAAATCATTCAGATTCAAGTGTATCTAATGCCAGAGATAAATAATAAATTCACTACTGTCGGAGTCTAAGTGATTTTATTTATAATATTTGTGAGCTTACATCATATGATCAAGTATCCGGCTTCATGATAAGGAATGTTGTTCTCACTGCTTGCTAGAGCTTCTTTTCTAACTAATCCTAAGAATTACAAGAACCAATTCTAGTTTTCTGTTATGAAAAGTTTTAGACCAATAAATGAAACAAAATTGTGGAAGGGATTTTGTATAAGTAACTGGCTTTTCCTTTTTTTTTTTTTTTTTTTTCCTATGGCTAGAAGATGTATCATATGGTTGGAAGGTATTACTGTTTTAACCCATATGAACATATAAAAATGAATGTTCCTAATTTTTTTATTGGCTGAGCACTTTATTTCCGACAGGTTTTTAAAGATTCATTCATCTTATTTTACTTTCTTGTAGATACAAGAGCTTGCCAAATTTATGGTAGAGCTATGGGATCTTATGGAGACACCAATTGAAGAGCAAAAGGCCTTTAGCCATGTTATTAGATTAATTTCAGCATCAGTTGATGAAGTGTCAACACAAGGATGCCTTTCTGCATATGTCATTGAGAAGGTGAAACTTGTGTTGACTCGAACATACCCATGCAGTTGCTCACTTCAAGATTTGAGTTCTAGTTGCTTGATTATTTATATTTTTGCAGGTCGAGGTTGAAGTTCAGCGCTTAAATGTTGTGAAAGCCAGTAAGATGAAGGATTTAGTGTTTAAGAGGCAGAATGAGCTTGAAGAAATTTACAGAGGAGTTCACATGGATGTAGATAGTGAAGCTGCTAGACAGATTTTGACTAGCCTCATTGAATCTGGTATAGTATTATTAAAGTTTTTCTCTTTTACCAAAATTATTTATGAATGCTTACACAGTCCTTTATTTTTTTAGTCTTTCCTCTTAAATAATTTTTAGAATTATTGTTATAAATGTGTCCATAATGTCTGTTCCGAGCTTTTATTTTTCCTTGACCACTAGCTTTTATGGCTTTGTAGGTAATATTGATCTGTCTAATTTGCTTCAAAGCATGGATGATCAAATCAGAAAAGCCAAAGAGCAAGCTCTAAGCAGAAGAGATATCTTAGATAGGGTAGAGAAATGGAAATTTGCTGCTGAGGAGGAAAAGTGGTTAGATGAATATGAAAGGGTATATAACTTTTTTTTTAAAAAGCTTATTATTAATAAATAAGTCACAACTTAATCGGCTTAAAATTTATTACTATGTATGGAGATCGATATATGGTATTTAATATATTCAAATACTTTCATTAATAATGTTTTTAATCAATATCTATAGGTTAGTGTTGCCAACTAAATGTCACTTTAAAAAGGGAGAAGCAAATCTAATGTCTGTCATGTGCACGTAGGTCATTATATTTTAATTGTTACATGGAGAGTCGATTGAGTTTCTTTGTTTTTTTTAAAATATATGCAACTGTTCATGAGTCCTCACTTAATGACTTAAGCGTTTTGGTCATCTTTGACATAGTATCAACACCAAGATTCAAGGGTTTGATTCTTGAAAGTTGCCTCCCCCATTTTTCTAAATGGAAGTTAAATTTCAAAACATGGCAAAATGGACCTTAGCATTATACATGCTTCAAACCCCAAAAGTTCTTGTGTGGTTTAGCAGGGGACCTAAAATCATTGATGAGAGTTAATAGGAGGGTACAACGGAAGCTATTAGGAGAGTTAATCATTGACAATTTACATGTAATATATGCACGTGGATGGTATAACACCATATTGGTTCTATAAGGAATTTGTAGATTTTGAACTGTTCATAGCTGACTTTGCTTGGTAATGTTGATTGTGTAGTGTAGATATGGTAGTGGTATCTCCCATTCTATATGGCGCTTGGATCTCTAAAAGAAATTTTGGATTTTAAGCATTCTCTACTTCGCTCATTTTGCATTATCTGGAAAATAAAATATTTACTTATTACAGACAGCAATTCTAAGCTATCTACGACGGAGATTAATGTTATTTGATTATTTTGACTTTGATATCTGTGGTTAACGCAGCAGTTACAAATGTTTTATATTCCATTGATTGATAAAAGATGCGTTAAATGTGTTATATTGTCTGCATTATTTTTAGATTTATTTAGACAATGGAAGATAGGTCACTTGCAATTTCGCATCATGTTGAAATTATAGGATTTCAGGCATTGAGGGAGGAAATTCAGAGTACATAGACAGCATATTCCCAAGAGCTGTAATGTGTTACAAAATGCTAACCTAGCAGTTTTATTTATATACCAACACTAGACTCCTAATCCTAATTAATTAAAAGATAAAACCCTAAGAATAAGATAACGATCCTAAAAGGATAAAATCCCTAAAAAATTAGGTAACACAATTGTCCCTAAAAGAATATATATTATTATCCTAATCTATTGTGCACCATTCTGTACCGTGATATTTTGTAAATATTCTTATATCATTTCATATCCTCTTTTCAGGATGAAAATCGATATAGTGCAGTAAGAGGAGCACACAAAAATTTGAAGCGCGCTGAGAAAGCACGGATTCTTGTCAGCAAGATACCATGTAAGTAGTCATATGTTTTTATTTTAATTTATTTTGTATTCATATGAGTTCAGGAAGATCTACAATTTGGATTCTTGTGGTAATTAGGACCTGCTTATATTCGAAGAGTTGAGTCTGAAAACCTTTATGATATTAGTAGTTTTAAAATGATATTAAATATTTAAATACTAAGCAACGCAAGATTGTAGACCAGTGTATGATGTCGACAAGCTTGAGTGAATAATATTGCTCAATATTTATAGCAGTTCCATGGATCATTGAGAGTATTAGTGAATGTATTTCGATTGTGTTGACCTTTTTGTCTTATTTTATTAAGTGAAAGAAGTCACCAAAATCCAATTATATCTATTCTGACCAACTATTTGAGAGTGTGCACTTGACATGCAATGCTCTTTGATGGCATATCAAAATGTAGCAAGCAAAACAGAAGCTAAAATTCACAGGTAGACACAATAGCTTTTTGTTTCAGGTTTTTTTCCATGAAAAATCGCTTCTATTTTTAGAAAAAACACTTTCATGTTTTATCAGTGTGTTTTCGATAAGAATCAGAAGCTGAATTATTTTTAATTTTGTGAAGCTACTTTGATTAACTTGAGGAAAAAAGCTATAATTATGGCTTCGTTTTCCAAATTAAAAATTCTTTTTTATAATTGTAACTGAACAAAAAATATCTTCTACTTTACATAATATTTTTAAATGATATGACTTGCTAATTACAAATTTCTAAGATTCACTATTTCTAAAAGTTTAAACAAAAATCAAATGATTGAGAAACTGATAGAGCCCAATTAGTAAGGCAAGATAGCAGATCTAAGGTGTGGAGAGTCTATACTAGGAGGAATAAGATTTAACAGTTTATTATCTATTTGTTATCTATTTAGGAAGTTGATAATTATTTCTGTTTTATCTTTTTAAATTAAAGTAAGGATTATCTAGGAAGTTAATAATAGATAAAATTATTTAGGAAGTTTGCTAGGAAGGATATAAAAAAGAGGTTAGGAGAAGTTTGGGGGAAAACAGAGGGAGAAAAGTTATTCTTTAAGAAATTATTCGGAGCCTACGCTCTAGGAAAAAGAGAAAGCAGATCACTAGTAATTCTTTTTTATTCAATAAAGTATTCTTATATTTCTAGGGTCCTAACATTGGTTCGACCTGTCGGATACCTCAACATGGTCTCTAAGATCAATGCATTGGAATCCAAAGTCACAACTTTGGACGCTCAACTTCAGGAATTACAATCCTCCGTTGCTGATCCCCAGCAATCTGTCATCAAGGAAGCACATGCGAATGAGACTCGTGAAAATGCTGAGTTTCGATCCATGATCACTCAGTAGTTAAAACGGAATGGAGATAATCAGTCTGATGATCTTCATCACAGTCCCACAAGGCTAATAACCCTCCTAAAATTCCTCCTCCCCCCTTAGTCCTCTCTGATGACTATCGGCTCGTAACGAGAAAGGTTGAATTGCTTTCCTTTGATGGTACGGACCCATGCGGTTGGATCATTCGGCCAGAAATGTATTTTCGTGTGCATGGTACCCCACCAGAAACAAAAATTCCTCTTGCCCAATTGTCAATGGAAGGGCATGTCATCCATTGGTTTTTCTTGTTATGGGAGGGTGACCCAGGGCTTTCGTGGGAAAAGTTAAAGGAGGCGTTGCTCGATCGCTTCGGAGACATAAATACCCGAAATCCTTATGAACAACTGGCTGCACTTACACAGGAGCATTTTGTGGCAGAATTTATTGAAGAATTTGAGTTTTTGTCCTCCCAAGTCCCTTGCCTACTTGCACCACAAGCAATCGGATATTTTATGCATGGGTTAAAGCCTGAAATTAGACGTTGGATGCATAACGAAACAACTAATAGGGCTATCTCTCTAGCTCGAGATGTAGAGTGTGCAATATACGAGGAGTTTGATAGCAAGGGCCAAATTTCTAATCGAAAATCTATGGTCAACAATGGATCAAATTTGCATAAATTTGGTGTTGTATTTTCAAATAAAAAAAGTGCCCTTTATCAGCAAGATAACTCCCAGAATGGGAAAAATGAACCCAAGTCACATGGATCTGGGTTTGTTACTAGCTGCCCTGGAGATACAAAGAGTAGAGGGATCCGCCACTTATCTACCCAAGAATTGTTTGATAGAAAGAAAAAGGGGCTGGGTTTTAGGTGTGGTCAACAATACCATCCTGTGCATCAATGCCCAGAAAAACAGGTCATACTCAAATTGCTTGCACTCAAATTGCTTGCAGAGGACGAGATTTTCAACGAAGAGGGTGAGATCAAATCTGCTAAAGGTGACAATGACGAGACTCTTGAGGAAGTGAAATGCAATGCTATGAGCTTATTCCATTCCACTAAAGAAGTAGTTTCTAGTCCTAAAGTCATGATATTAAAGGGACAATTGAATGAATTACCAATTTTAATTTTAGTGGATAGCGGTGCTAGCCATAATTTTGTATCAAGACGTGTGTGAAGGCTTTGAATTTGCCTGTGCAAGATGCCTCAAGTGTAGCCATACGGCTGGGTGATGGTCATCGTGTATTGACAAAGGGAACTTGCAACTTGAAGGTTGATTTAGGCCCAATGGAAGCCTTTGTGACTGCCTATGTTTTTGAAATAGGTGGCTTAGATTTAATCTTGGGGATTAAATGGTTGGAAACATTAGGATTGGTGCAAACAGATTGGGGGCAAATGACAATGACTTTCTACAACAAGAATGAGTTGATCACCTTGTGTGGCATTCAATCGGAGGTAGTAACATCCACTTCTTCCTTGCATAACTTAATTGCTAGCAAGGGTTGTCCTTTGACAGGTTATTTTGGAATATATAGGTTCAAGATCAAGAGGTAGTCCAATATGCAGATTTACCGCAAGAACAACATGAGAAGATCCAACAATTAATAGTTCAATTTCCAATTGTATTCACTGAAGCTCAAGGCTTACCACCACATAGAGACAATGATCATGCAATTGTTCTTCAAACAGGAAAGGGACCTATAAGCGCCAGGCCCTATAGGTACCCTCATCACCATAAGGATGAAATTGAACGACAGGCTTTAGAGCTACTGCAGAAAGGGTTAATTCGGGCCAATAATAGTTCTTTCTCTACCCCAATCATCTTGGTAAACAAAAAGGGCAACTTGTGGAGGGTGTGTGTGGATTACAGGGCTCTAAATAATGTTACAATTCCAGACAAATATCCTATTCCAATGGTGGAGGAACTCCTTGATGAGTTGCATGGAGCTTGGGTATTCTCTAAACTTGACCTCAAATCAGGTTTTAACCAAATTAGAGTAAAGGATGAAGATATCCATAAAACGGCTTTTTGAACTCATAATGGCCACTATGAGTACTTGGTCATGCCATTTGGATTAATGAATGCTCCTGCCACATTTCAGTCCACGATGAATGATGTGTTTAGATCTTGTTTACGCAAATTTGTTTTTTTGTTTTTTTGATGATATTTTGGTCTACGGTCCAAATTGGGAAACACATCTATTGCATTTGGGTGAGGTGTTATAGTTGCTGAAAATTAATAGACTTGTGGTAAATAAAAAGAAGTGCAGTTTTGGTAGGAAATCAATAGATTATTTGGGTCCCCAAATCTTAGGGGAAGGGGTGTCCATGGATCCAGAAAAAATTGTCGGTGTGCTACATTGGCCTACTCCAAAGAATGTGAAGGGAGTGAGAGGTTTTTTGGGTCTCACCGGGTATTATCGAAAGTTCATCAAAGATTATGGTAACATAGCAAAACCCTTGATCGAGTTGACCAAAAAAAGACAACTTCCATTGGGGTTGTTGAGAGAAATGGTAAATGGAGAGAACATATTCCTTGTGTATTGCAAAACAAAAAGATGTGTTTATATACAAAGTAGTGGGCCTAGGCCCATAAGATAAAACTATATCTAACACTCCCCCTCAAGTTGGTGTATATAGATCATATGCACCAAGCTTGTTACAAATATAATCAATCCTAGGACTCCGTAATGATTTGGTGAAGACATCTGCCAACTGATTAGTAGAGTTAACAAACTGAGTGGTAATGTCCCAGATAAAATCTTCTCACGAATGAAGTGACAATCTATTTCAATGTGTTTGGTCCTCTTGTAAAATACTGGATTTGAGGCAATATGAAGGGTAGCTTGGTTATCACATATGAGAGTCATCTGTGTAACTTTGCCAAATCTCAGTTCTTTAAGCAACTGTTTAAGCCAAATAAGCTCACACGTAGCAGAGGCCATAGAACGATATTCTGCTTCTGCACTAGATCTTGCCATTACATTCTGCTTCTTACTTTTCCAGGAAATCAAGTTATCACCGATAAAGACACAATAACCTGAGGTGGATCTCTTGTCAGAGGGAGAGACTGCCCAATCTGCATCTGAGTACCCCACAACTTGGGTATGATTGTTGTAGAGATACTCTGGAGATTTTGACACACACCATAGAGACGTCGAGTATCATTGGTGTACAAAAATCGTGCTTGTTCCCATACATCAACACATGTCTCATGAGCACGAAAAATTTTCTTGAGGGAGGGATGAATGGTCGACTTAAGGACACTACAAATTTGAGCATCAATTTTCGACCAATGAGGACGATCTTTCTCATCAACGATCTTTCTCATCAACGGAAGCAGTTGTCTGTGTAAGGTGAGAAACATAATCCTGTCCCTTAAGCCATAGCTTGATATCGGAAGCCCAAGTGTCATAATTGGTTCCATCTAACTTGTCAATGGAAAGAGGGACATTGACATAGTAAAAATAGAGGAGTTAGGTCGGACATCAGCAGGTGAAGCCATATATGCTGGAAGAGGAGAGAGAAACAACAACAGGAGAGAGAAAAAGGAACGAGAAGGAAGGGACCCGTGACAAACCAAGTCCGATCACGAAACAAATTACAGATCAGCGTAGAGGACGTCGGGACGAGTCCGGCACCGCTAATCGCCGCTGGAAAAGTGACCAGACGCGCCGCCACGCGTGGCGGCCGATGAG